GGCCCCAAGACTATAAACTCTTGACAAGAAGGTGAGATACATTTTGCTAAACATCGTACCTGTAAAGCACAATGGGATACTTAGCAAAGAGCAGATACTAAATTCAAACTCAGTCTGGGCAACTTAGCAAGACTGTCTCAAAGTAAAAAATAAGTAGGACTAGAGAGAGAGTTCCGTGCAAAAATCTGGGTTTAATCCCCAGGAACACACACATATGAAATGCTGAACAGAGACTTTTTCTTTGCCTTATGACAAAAAAGCTGGGAGCGAAAGAAAGAAAAAGGCTGACAACTGATGTCAAAGGAGATCATAGGCTTACTTCCACTCAAAGATATGTGGTACATAAAATGATTTCTGAAATTCAACCCAAAAGCTTTACTCCAGGTCTAATCTGAATCTTTCAAACTCAAAACCTGACATTTCAATATGTATCAGAATCACCTGGGAAGCTTACTGAAAATGCTGAAAAGCCGTTATTTTCAAAAAGTAATACTGACCAGATGCTTATCCTTTTTCTCTTTCAGAATGAATGTATCAAATGACAGGAAGGAAATAAAATATCAATCTAAAAAAAGGGAAGAAAATAAAAGTGTAGAAGAGGTTTTTTTTGATGAGACAGGTCTCAGGAGGCTGAGGCAGGAGGATTGCTCCAAGCTCAAGGACAGCCTAGGTTACATAGTGAGGTCAAGGCCAACCTGAACTTTTAATCTTGAGTTTTCATTAAAAGAAATTAGTGAGCTGGGCATAATAGTGCAGGCCTTTAATCCTAGCAGTCAAGAGGCAGAGGCAGGAGGATCACTGTGAATTTAAGACCAGCCGATGCTACAAAGTAAGCTCAAGGCCAGCCCAAACTGCATAGCGAAACCCTGTCTCAAAAAGACAATCAGGGGCTGGAGAGATGGCTCAGTGGTCTAAAGCACCTACTTAGAACAAGCTTGGCAAAGCACTGGGGACCGCGGTTCAATCCCCAGCACCACATGCACATGCCAGCCAGCCCGCCCCCTGGTGGGCTGAGCTGGCCACACACC